CTACACACCTGAAGTACATGTTGCTACACACCTGAAGTACATGTTGCTACACACCTGAAGTACATGTTACTACAAACCTGAAGTACATGTTACTACAAGTCTTAACACTTTAGTTTGATCATTGGTCTTGATCCATGATTTTTGCTCTTCTAGCATTTTTAATTATTACTAAATAAATATTTATTACTTTAATACACAGAACTGGGACTACAGTAATGTCTGAAGTTTAGAAGTGGAGGCAAAAACAAAACGGATTGATCTGTTGGAAAGGATTTTATAAAAAGAAAATTATGCAATGTTTAAATGTAGATTTTTTTTTTCATTTAATGTTTGTTACAAGTTTACGCGCTTGAAGTTGTCTAAATGTTTTCTAAAATTGAATTACAGCAGTAACATAATCCAGTGAAAGACGACCACAAATTTACTAATAATCTCTTCAAATTTTACATTAAAAGAATTTAAGCATTTGGAAGTTTCCTGTTTTGTCTTCATAAAGAACAATAGATTCAGTCAACCCGGTTTTAAAGATCAGATCACAGATGTAAAAAAATATAAGCTGGAAATAATTTGTCTGTTGGGTTTTATGTTCAGCGGTTTTGAAGGATGTGTTCATACACCTGAAATACACGGTCTTTCAAAACTGACTTAATATGTGGCAAACAAACGTGGTAGAAATGCAAAGGATTGTTCCCTTTTTGTTTATTTCAAGTATTTGATATGTCAAGACATTTTATTTTCTTATTGCCGTATTAATAAATCCCTGACCTTATATTCTGAAAGTATTACTTCATACCAAACTGAATCGTGTGAAGTGTGCACCGATTTCAAACTTTTCTCATATTTGTTATTAATGTTGTAGCAGAGGTGCACAACATTCCCATCACTGCCTGATGCTCTTAACAGGTTCTATGCCCACGTTGAAGACCCAAATAGACCGTCCAGCTCCAGACTCACCTCACCATCTGAAGAGGAGTTCCTCAGCATGACCTCAGCAGAAGTAAGGAGAACCTTCAGGAAGATTAATCCTCAAAGCAACGGGCCCAGACAACATCCCAGGGAGGATGCTGAAAGACTGCCGATCAGCTCTGTGAGGTGCTGGCTGCCATCTTTAACTCCTCCCTCACCCTGGCAACAGTTTACACCTGCCTGAAGACCGCCACCATCATCCCAGTTCCTAAGAGCTCTGCAGTGACTGGTCTGAATGACTACCAGCCAGTGGCCCTCACCCCAATAGTCGCTAAATGCTTTAAAAAACTGGTCATGACCCACATCCATTGAGATCAGCGAGGACCCTCATCAGTATGCATACCACAAGAATCGGTCAACAGAGGACGCCATCTCCACTGCTCTCACCCACCTGGAGCAGAAGGTCCGTATGCTCTTTGTGGACTTCACATCTGCCTTCAACACCATGACCCCCCAGACCCCGATAGACAAACTACTCACACTAGGACTAAGCCCCTCCATTTGCAACTGGGTCCTGGACTTCTTAACAAACATACCTCAGTCTGTGAGGCTCCACAACTTCTTCTCCACCTCAGCACTGGCTCCCCTCAGGGCTGTGTACTGAGCCCCCTCTGGTTCACTCTGCTCACCTCGCATATGACTGCACACCTACCCATCCAGGCTGTCATACTGTAAAGTTTGCAGATGATACAGTGGTGGATGGATACATCACAAACAATAATCAGCTACAGGCAGGAAGTGGAACACCTGGAGAGCTGGTGCAGGAAGAACAACATTCACATCAATGGGAAGAAGATGAAGGAGATGATTGTAGATTTCAGAAGGAACAAACAGACCTACTCCCCCACAAACATGGGAAGATCTGCGGTGGAAGTGGTCTCCAGCTACAAGTATTTGGGTGTGCACCTGAACAACAACCTTAGCTGGAGCAACAACACCACCAGCCTGATGAAGAAAGATCATCAGAGACTCTACTTCCTCAGGCGGCTGAGACGAGCTGGTCTGGAAGCTCAGTCCTCACCTCCTTCTACAGGTGTGCAGTGGAGAGCATCCTGTGCTCCAGCATCAACGTGTGGCATGGAGGCTGCACAGCTGCAGAAAGAAAAGCTTTGCAGAGAGTGGTGAAGGCTGCACAGAAGATGTTGGAGTCGGTCTCCCCACCATCACAGACATCTACACCTCCAGATGCAGGAAGAGGGCCACCTGCATCATGAAGGACCACACTCATCCAGCGCACACATTTTTTGCCCCGCTCCCCTCAGGAAGGAGGTTGAGGAGCATTAAGTGTAGAACCACTAGACTGAGGAACAGCTTCTACCCTGAGGCTGCTAGATTCACAAATCTCTATCCAGAAACATCACTAAGAAATAAAATTGCTGTAATGCATCTTTAATTGTTGATATGTGCTGCTAATTATCCATGCTGCTGATCTCATGCTGCTGATGTTATGCTGCTGTATTCATTCATTTGTACTCATCCACCCACAAAGACTCATGTTCATGCTGCTGTTCAACGTATTGTTTTGCACCGTTAGTGTTTAGTGTACATCTTTTAGCGTATTGTTGGGCGTTCGTTTAGTGCTTCTCTTAGTTTATATCTTCGTTCCTAATTTACCGTTTCTTTTTACACTTTATATTTTTGCTAATTTTGGATGTAACTGGGACCTTGAGTACACAATTTCGTTCCACCTCATGTACCAGATGTGATGCGAATGACAATAAAGAACCTTGACTTGACTTAAAGCATCTTCTATAACCTAACAAATACTTGATTTTCAATGTTTTTAATCTTGGTGTTTCCTCTGGTTCTTTAAGATCCTATCAGACAAACTTAACATAAATAAAAGTATGCATAATAAAAGTTCTGACATTTTCTAGGCATTGTACCACCAGGTGGTGACATTGCAGAATATCTGCAGAGCTGATGTACTGTACATACATTTTAAAATGCTATTGCAGCAGTTTGATTGCTTTTAAAATGTGTCAGTTAAGGGAAAAAAGTTTTTTTTTAAATAATAATCGGGTCAAACTGAACATTTAAAGAATGAAAATCAGTTTACTAATGAGAGGGAAGAAAACCAAATGAGCTTAAAAATGCAAAAATGTTAATCATAGCACTCCTACTGCTGAATTTTAAGTCTTTGTGATATATTAAACTTGAAGATTGAGTCTGCATTGTTTGAACTAAAAGGGAACTAATGTTTAAATCCCTGAAATCTGTTGTAAAATACAGCTTCAGTTTTATTCTATGAAACAAAAAGACCGGAGAGAAACCAAAACAATGACATTATTGGAGTATTTATATCCAATGCTTCTATTAGAGGACAAAATCTATTTAGTTAAAAATACTGAAACACTGTTTACAAAGTTGAAGGAGCACTGATGCAATGCTCTCTACATTTATTGAGCAACTCCTGTCGTTTCAATTTACAAACGGGCTCAAACTGGTGCCACTGATTATTTCAGCAAACACAATTCCCACATTAGCTTTGCTTTAAAAGATTTAAAAAAGTAAATGTACGGTCATTTATTCCCACAAGAACATTCGTCATGAAAACTTTGCACTTTATGCAAATTTTTACAAATCATTTAAAACTTTATCAGTAGTATGCTGCAGTTTTAGGGCCACAGTAGTCTTCAAATTAATCTGGAGCAGATAATTTTCTTCAGAGTTGTGCTCATAAAATATGTTTTGTAAAATTGGTTGTTATATAATATATATTCTCATATCCATTCAATATTTACGCGTGTCCAGAGCAGAAACTATTAGTTGACTAGTCATTTGACTTATTATAACGAACTAATTTCTAATTTACAACCTCTGTGATAGTTCTAATTTTTTTCCTGTAGTTTTATTTTGAAAGGCGTTGCTGGACGCTTTTACTCTGAAGGAGCGTGAGCGGAAGCGATGTAAAGTATGGTCAAATATTCCCAAAAGAACGTTCACATTTATCATGAAAGCTTTGTACTTTATGCTTTTTTTAATTTTTTTACAAATCGTTTCAAAAATCATCAGTAGTTTTCATATTAATCCGAGACAGATTAGTTGTGCTCATGAAATATGCCTTGTAAAATTGTTATGTCTGAGAATATTTGTGTGTAAGCAGAGCGTAAACGATTAGTTTACCAATCATAGAACTTATTATAACGAACTAATTTCTAATTTAAAACCTTTGTGACGGTTATAACATTTTTTTCTCTCCCTAGTTTTATTTTGAAAGGCGTTTCCGGCTGCTTTTACTCTGAAGGAGCGGGAGCGGAAGTGCTGTTGCTACACGTTAGCTTGTGTCACTAGCTAGCTGTGTGTAGAGATTTCGGTCCTGGCGGAGAAACGCAGCGCACGTAATGGCAGGGAGAATTCACTTCTCCGGGTTCCTTTAATATGCTCCCTGCTCTGGGGGTAAGGGCAGCACCGGACCAGTCTCAAAATGACCACCGGCTTCAGCTCCGGTTCGTCCCGGTTCGCAGATTATTTCGTGATCTGCGGTCTCGACACCGAAAGCGGGCTGGAACCCGACGAACTGTCCGGTAAGCGTATTAGCCGTTTGCGGTTAAATGTGTCAGCTCGGTGCTGGGGGGTAAATGAGGATGAAACGGCCTCTAAAGTTATTTTTATTGTTTTTTTTTTATTTATTTCGTTTTTATTTTGTGAAGAGCAGGTAGTTTGTTGTGTTCAGGTTGTTGGGGTGAATGCAGAGGAACACGCGGGGCCTAGCTCCTCTCCCATCAGCCTGCTCCTCGGGATTACTCACCGTCTTTATCTCGTTTTAACTTAAAGGCTGTTTTTATTAGGGACTTTACGATTGTGGTGGGCAACAGTATGTACAATTATAAAGGCCTGGAGTTAATTCAGGCACTGATGTTGATTGTAGGAGCAGTAACATTGATGGGTGCTTAATATTCACTGTGATGCCAACACTATTGCACTCACTTTTAAAAGAAGTCTCCCGTTGAAATGATCAGATTCTCACAATTACTTACTTTTAAACATTAGTTGGTGCAGTTTGGAGTTTTATTTTGGTGGGCTGCAACCCCTTTGATCATGGTTTTATCAGATGGTGACTGAAGAGATTTGCAACTGTTCATGTAAACAAAGCAAACTTCAAGACAAAGAACTGAACCCCACTCAGGTGATCTTTGGTAGGTTGGTGGCTTTCATCACTCACAGGTGAAGGTGAGCGACCTATTCTGTGAGGAGCCAGTGGTCAATTCTGTGATGACATTGTGCACCAGTTTGATGACTGGGACAATGAAGTTAGTCATGTGCTCTTCCAGTCATCAGATCTCAGCTGACATGTTGCTGATGTGTGAGGCCATGCTCTCCAGACTCCAACAACAAATGGTGACATCATAGAACTGGGATCCGTAGCTCCAGCAAAGCGCCGACACACAAAGTCAGACCGATATGTTTTATTCAACTATTTGCTTATTAACTGCTTGTTACTTATGAACATTATGGAAGTGGATGGAACTTTTTGGGCAAGTAATATTACACGTATTTGTCCTCTTCTTGTAGATGACGTGACCATTAGACTTCCTAAATATGTTATTTCACTGGACTGTAACTGCTGGTGACGTTTTAATGAACGCCACATGTGAGAGAGTATACAAAATATACTCAGTTTTGATCATGTTTTTTGTAAAGGCTTGCAATCTTATTTGTACAGTTTGCAGTTCTTGTAGTAGATGTTTTAAACCTTTCCTGAACCCGTCTTAGTTCTGTCACAGCCAGCCTTACGAGCTGTAGAACTGTGTTTTTGACACCATCCAAAAACAGCTAAAACTAATGTCCTGGTCTAACAACTACCGTATGTCCATGATAAGTATTTACTAAAAATAATCTCCAAGTCGGCCTATCTTTATTTCAACAGTTTTCTCCAGTAGATTAAATAACAAACTTGAAAATATCCACCAAGATGGGTACAAAGTGAGCATAGGTGGGTGTTGCAAAATATGCACACAGTTCAATTCAGTTTATTTATAATAAGCCAGGGTTTTTAAAATGTATTTATTTAATAAATAAAAGGTAATTCAGGTGTCGGACTTAGGCAAACAGCTTGTTGGACGCTTGGTCACAAACACTCATAATTCAGTGGGACAATAATAGAAAATGTTCTTGTTTTTGTGCATCGCTGAGTCCCAAACAAGTCTTGAACAATCACAGCCCCATGAGATGCCACCATCATCGTTTCTGTTGTTAGAGGAATGGATCGCGTCTGAGGGACAGACCCGTCTTATCCGTGAATCTGAATTATATTTCCCAAGACGTGGTTGTGACTTTTAACAGTTAATGTCAGACGTCTTCTTCAACACATTATGGTCAGGGTTTCCGTAGCACTGCTTTCCAAGTTTGGTGGGGAATCCCTACATTTGTAAGAATGATAATTCTATAAATAAGAATTCATAATTATATGAACAGATCCCTCTTGTAAATGAGTCCCCGTGGCTCTTGAGGCTACCCTGTATAAATAAAGAATGAATCAATATATCTATTTGCCTCACAGGAAGTATTTAACACTGGATTCAGGTCTTTCGTTATTTCTTGATATAAAAGAATGACATCGCCAAAACTACGCGAGTCGGATTACATGACGCACACCAAATGAAGCATTGTGTTGTTGCTTTAAACCTCACGAGAAAAGCAGCGCACACACTTCATCCAGCTCAGCAATTAAAAGTGTTGTGTGAAAGTTTCTTTTATCTTCCTACGGTGCGGTTTCAGTCTTGAGCTGGTGTGATTTATTGTGACTCAGCAGGAGGTGAAAGGCCGAGGAAGTCCCTGCTGTTGCTGAAAGCAAGTTATTTCCTTCTTAAAGCAATAATAACGTAACCAAAAATTATTATAGCTGTCAAAGACCTCACCTTTTACTTCTCATTTCTACTTCCTTTAAGTAAGTTCCTGTTTACACGTTGGCTTTAACTGTGTAAGAAGAAAACTGAAGTTTGACAATTTAAGAAATATGTAGACTTGTGTTGACTAGAATTAAGATGCACATTTTTATAGCTCGCTTCTGAAGACAGAAGAGTGATAATGTGTTTGCCTGTGGCTGTTTTTGTTTGTTTGCTGTGTTAGCTAAATATCTCGTAAAACTCTCAGAAAGTAGATGTGCATGCACAACTGATTTAATTTCTGGAGTCAACCCAATTCCGTATGGTTGGTGTGGATGAAAAATTATGTCAAAGAAAACTTCATATTCGTGAATGAAAATAGATATTATTGTAAAAAAGGACATTTCGTTTTGACTTCTTGATCTAAAGGTCTTCGTGTTGTGGCTTGTATTTTGGGAAATCAAGCACATACAGATCTCAAAGCTGTTTGTCACTTGATTGGTTTAGGGGTTTGTGCACGCTCTGATCATGATCACGAGCGCTCCCTACGAGCTGATTGTCACAAGCCATGAACCCTGATATACACCCCGTTGTACATTTCACTTCCGCTGCAACTTCTGCAGATGCGTTGTACTCTGTTAAACTTGTGAGCTGCTGTAGCTTTTTATAAATCACAACAAAATACAATTCTCTTGTTGAGTTTTTGAGCCAACCATTATTTCATTATTTACAATTCTCACCACAGCTGACCTTAGAACACACAAAAAATGGCTGTAACAACCAGTTTGACAGATATCGAGCTAAAAGTTGACGCTCTACAGGATGAAAGTTATTCACCACACATCCTTGGAGCGCCAGCACGTTGCACAAGATCTCTTGATATTGCATGAGATCATGCGTACCGGTAATTTTATTTTCAAGGTTTCAACATGAGGTTATCTTAGTTTAAAACTTTTGCATGATTTGTGACAGATGATATATTTATTTAAGAATTGTTTTGAATTTTTCTTTGCTTTAGCCAAACCATTCACTGTGAGGTTCATCATCTGTTTTTAAAAGCCGAGATTTTCAACGTGTTTAAAACCAAAAACACTGTGAGAGTGTTATGTTAAAATTGGGCTTACATGTAATTTATGTACGTTTGGAGCACATTTAAAAACAACGAAAGTCAGTTGAAGTGCTTTAGAGTCAAACATGACACACGTGTAAAGGTTTTTTTTGATTTTAAGACTCCTACAGATGTGCTTTTACTGTTTTTTTATCTTGTTCTCAGCGTTTGAGTTGGCTTCACTGCATGAAAATATGCCACACTTTTCCTGTGTTGGTGATAAAGGTTCTTTTTAAAACAGCCACCGAAACTTTGCTGAGACTCTCAGCCTGATGCTTTGAGGTCAAACATCACTCATGTTCTACTTTCTGAGAAGCATGTTGCTTCTGTTTGCTGTAGACGGAGGTTGTCGCTTTCACTCATGACTTGAAGAGCGGAAATGGTGTGGAAATTCCAACGTTACCCGTTTCTGCTAAAAATTGGTTATTGGCATGCCGGTCCTAGAAGTTTAAATTTTTTACTGCCTATTCAGGAATAATGACAGAATATTTATAGAAGCATTTCTTTGTTCAGGTTTTAATTTTTTTGTTTGGGTACTTAATTATTTTAAAAAAATGTTTTAGTTTACTTTGAGGGGTAGGGGGAATTTTCCAGAATGAACTTTGAAAACTTGGGGTATTTTACAGCTTAGCGTTTATTCTGTTGTCAGCAAAGTGAGTAAACGGCAGCAAATACACGAGGTGGGGATTTTTGTAGCTGCTTGGTTAAAATAATTAAATTATAATTATTTTTAATTGTGCAAAATTTGCACCTAACACTTTGTTAGGGGCAAATTAATTTTCATGTGTAATAAATCCACAATCTTGTCAATTTTTCCTACTTTTATGATTGCAAACTACGGTACGCACTATTTATGAGGCTAGTTTCATGCTAGGCTGGGACAGCGTGTTTTCATAAAGAGTTTAAAGAGATGGGAGAGCTTACAACATCAGGTGCAATGTTTAACTAAAGCCCATATTATTACATCTGAAGGCACATATTTCAGTTACATTTCAAGGTTCTTTGCACCGTATGTGGTGCATGTGGTGGAACAAAATTGTGTACACGGGGTCTCACTTGCAAATCACGTGACCAGTCAAATTGCAGGGGTCGAGATGGTGCAGGGGCAGAGCAGCGACTCAGGACCCGAAGGTCCTGGGTTCGATTCCCGGTCACTGCACATCTCATGGTGTCTCTGAGCAGGACACCTAATCCTGAATTGCCTCCCGGGCACTTGCATAGCTGCCCACTGCTCCACCTGGGTGTATCCCAGGCGCGACGGGTTAAATGCAGAGAAGCAATTTCGTCTTTGTATGGGAACATACAATTATGACAACACATAGCACTTTATTATTATTTATTATTCGAAAATCTTGTTTCATCATATCGCGATATTATCGCAAATGCAATTAATTGTTCAGCCGTAAGGTGGATGAACGATCCAACAATTCACAGTCAAAGACCTCAAGTTTCCAAATGTTACGTCTCTGGTTGGGTGCAGGAAACCATCATTGAAATTAAGAATAGTTACTGCAAAGTAACAGCAAGAGTGACTAGGTAAACTGCTGATGAAGTGAACTTGTTGCATCTTTTTCACAGTCTACTTCACAGC